CCGTTATGTACATTACATTTTGTATCTGATGTATGTAAACTATTTTATAGGAATGAACTATAGGCATATGGGAGAGAGATCATTAGATGTTTTTTACATGTGAGCTCAGGGTCAAGCTAATCCCTCTTGGCCTAATGCTCTCTACAATTTAGAACCACAATATTTCTGTCAAAAAGTTCAAATTCAGTCTGAAGACAGAAAACGATGTACCTCTGACCCATGAAGGACATGGGTTTGAATGGATGTACCTCTGACCCAAGAATGACATGGGTTTGAATGGCATGGATCCACGTGGGTATTTTTTGGTAAACGGTAGAGTACTGTAAATATACTTTCCTCTTGATTTTCTTAGTAACATTTTTCTTTTCTCTAGCTTACTTTATTGTAAAATACAGTCTGTAATACATATAACATACAAAATATGTGTTAATTGGCTGTTTATGTTATCAGTAAGGGTTAACAGTAGGCTATTAGTAGTTAAGTTTTTAGAGAGTCAAAATTCATACAAAGATTTTTCCACTGCACAGAGGATTGGTGCCCCTAATCCCTACATTGTTCAAGGGTCAACTGTATATCTACATTTTTAATAAGGCACCATTTGGGCACACAAAGGTACGTAATTTTTATTACTATTTGGTATTCCTATTGAAAAGGAAAAATTTAAATGACTGAAAGCAGCTGTCTGTCTTAGCCTCAACAAGAATACAATTTTCTAGCTAAACAGAGATGGAAAAGAAGTTTGCTTTCAAAATTATCCTTCATATGTATTTATACTGCAACACAGGGGGGAATGGGGGGCCTGGGGTCTGGTCCTGGTGCAGCACTCCCTAGGCGTGAGCCCTTGGCCAGGGCCCCTTAACCAGAGAATGGAATGAGATGATGAAATGAAAAGTGCTTTAAGGACACTGTGCCCAGGGGGAAATTGTCACGGACAAGGTGAGCTGAGTGCTTACTACACACCAGGGCACTTGACCTCATGTACCCCCAATGACCTAGGAGAGGTTCTATAGATGAGGGAGGCAAGTGACACTCAAAAGGTTAAGTCAATAATCCAAGGTCCCACAGGTAGCACAGGACAAAGATACTATTTTTAAACCTAGGGCTCCAGTGTCCATTTGGGCATTCCAACTCTCCATAAAGCCGCGCACAGAGAGAAGGTTTTGTGAGTCTTGATATTTCGTGGTGATGTGTTATTTGTACAAACTGTGTGTAACTTTACAGGGCATGTCACATTTTTCTCCCTACAAAAAGCATCTCTTTGGAAAGATGAAACATGTAATATCCAAACAAGGCAGCTTATATTTTTGAATTAAAAACCTATTTTCTCTTGCATATTAGAAGCAAACAAATCTTAGTTGGGCCACGGGCTTCTATATTAAAGTCTCTTTAAAATACATCTCTGAAGTTCTTAAATAATTTCTCACAGTTTTATAAACATTCTCTAAAGCCCCCCCGAATACTAATTAGCAATAATAATTGTAAGTAATCTGTCAAGAATTTTAGAAGTGCTGCTCCCACTGAAAAAGACTGATCTCTTTGCCAATGACAAATAATGTGTGTCTTCAATAAGCATGTCAGCAACATTATTTTTACGGCATAGAAAATGCTAAAGTAGCACACATAAAAATAACGGCATGCTCATTAAGTGTAGTGCATCTATATTTTTGGACTCAGTTTCTGGAAATCCAAGTGAGCAGTAAGAAAATTACTTGGGTAGACTGCAAATGAAAGCTCAGTCAACTAGAACAACATTTTGGCTACTCAATAGCAGTGCTCAGGATGTGAGCACTTGGATCACAGGGTTAGAATCTGTTAGGTCTGTCTCAAGTCCAATAACAGCATCTGTGCTTGCCTACCACTCCCCTCCTTCATTTACTGTCATTGGTTAATTTGGTTCAAGTCAAGACTACGGAATAAGTTAGCATGCTTCTGAGAACTCATACATATTTTAAATTATGGCCCCTTTGACACCCCTTCAGGGCTCCTGGATCCTCCAACACATGGAGGGGAACAGGAGCCCCAGTTGAGGACTGCTACAGAAGCGTGATGGACAATGCGGAAAAACAATGGGGATGCCATAAAGGGAACGGGCAGGGATGTGGGGCAGAAACAGAAAACAGAAGGCAAAGCTCTTCTTCTGCATCATGCAGAAATCAGGACCAGTCAAAAGAGGATTGATTACCCTAAGGGTTGGCTCGAGGAGAAAAATTTAAGTTACATTGCCACAGATCTTTTTGTACTATCCAAATGTTTAAATATGCCATTAAGGCAAGTTTTGCATATTTGTTGCTAAATGCTGGTATGATTTGCTGAGCCACATCACATATCAAAACCAGGAAAATACCCCAACTATATATTATATTTTGCTTTTGACACACAGAAAAACAAAATGATAATATATGGTTTTTTTCCTAAGTGGTGGGTAATAAATCTAATGGTCTTAAACATACTTCCTGTTTCTTCATCTAGAGCCCTTAGAAATGACGTGTTTCTCCTGTGGAGAGATGGCACGTCAGTTCTAAGACGCTGGGTGTGGTCATGACACACGCAGGCATGCGGAGAGGTTGAAAGCTGGGAGCTAACTCTTGGAGATCCACCTTATTAGCCTTCCCAGGGTGCTAATAAATCTCCACTCTGCGGGGTGCTGCCTGAAGAAGCCTGCCTCCTTACCTTTGATATGGGGAATGAAGTGGTGTCGGAAGGGGGAGTTGGGGCGGGAGTCGCTGTGGGCGGAGCTGAGGCTGCTGGTGCGCAGGTGGGACAACCTTTGCACACCAGGAGACAGCAGCTCTGTGCGGCAAGGAGTCAGGGGCAGGGCCAGGTAGAAACAGAAAAGAAGAACAGAAATTAACACAGGAGCAGGGACAACATCATCATTCCAAGGGGCGGGGGGGGGCGGGACACAAAGAACGTTAATCAGGAGTCTGAAAAAGGAAGAAGGCAAAAGGGTTAAGAACGCACCTGCTAAGGGTGAGGCTAAGTGGGGAGAATTTGCAAACAGTTCGGGTTGGTACAGAGTCGCTCTCTGAGAATAAATGGCTTTATGAGAAGGAATGGCCACCAGGACATTCTCTGTCAGGATGACACCGGCTACTGTTGAGCCAGTACTAGGCACATCATTTAGACTCAGAAATAGCTGTTTTTAAAAAGCACCTGACAAAACAGAACCCTTGAAACACATGTTAAAAAAAACAAAACAAACAATCATTTTAAGAACCTTGAAAAGAAGTACTTATACGTAAGGGTCAGATTCTTTTTTTTTAAGCTGCCAACTTCTCCCACTAGCGGTTTAATTTTATTTGCCTTTGTAGAAGGAAAACCTGTTTGTGTTCCCTGGGTGGCAAGAGCTACTTAGGATCCTGAGAACTGCGTGATGGCAGCACGGGGGGACTGGAAGCTTCGTTATCTTGGAAGGAAAATGGACCATTAAAACTAAACCCAGACATGGGGAACGTGTACCATCACCTGGCATCTAGAACCCGCAGAGTGGATAATCAGAGGTTTTCTATACTGACCACAGCCCTGCTGTCAGAACCCCACCGGCTTCACCTGACAAGGGTAGATCTTGAAAAAATAATTATAAACCCTAATAATTGGCATCATGCATGCCCATAATATATTGTGAAAAGGAGGAGGAGCACTTAGAATGGGGAATGTTCTAAAGGCTGCTGGCTTTGAAACCAGGACTGGAACAGACAAAAACTTTCAGTGCTCAACAGCGACATGATCTGTCAGGGAAATAATGTCCCTGGCTGGCCAGCCCTTCACTATTCAGGGGCCCATGGAACAGCAATTGCCCTATAGCCCCACGTCATTCTGATAAGGTCATGGCCGTGGCCTCTGTGACCTCAGCACACGCCTATATGGAGGGGTGGCCGCGAACAGGATTTCTTGTCTCCCACACAGACAAGGGCTTAAGTCCAGACCCAGGTCCAGAGCATGAATTAAATGAATATAGTTGCACATGAAAAAAAAAAGAATCCATTTCTTGAAAAACCTTCATTTTACTTAACTCAACAAATACTATTTATGACCTAGAGAAAACTATACATTATTGAAGACTCATATAGTAAAAAAATCAATCTTCTATATGCATTAAATCTATGGCTTTAAGGGAAATATTGCAGCCTTTTTATATTCTGTTCATTTTCTCTGGTTCTATTTTATCAAATAAGTTAGCATATGAATGAGTTTGTTCTCATCCACCTGTGCAGAAGCAAGAAGCTTAAAAGGAAGTCTTCCTAGACGTTGACTGCCACCAATGTTGTTGAGAAGGCCAGAGGCTCCCTCTGGGAATCTACTTCTCAGGGAACCCCGGATCCATGCTGGGATCTCCATTCTTCTATTCCACACATGAGACACCCACTAATAGTGATGCGGACTATGCTGTGCACAGATGAAGGTGACCTGAAGTCCACTACTGTTCGATATTCCCTATCATAATACGTCTCTAATGTTTTTCTGTTTTCCAAGTCTGGTTCGAAATCTAAGGGCTGGAATGGGTCTGAAAAGTTATCAAATACAACCCCCAGGCTGCATATAATACTTCCTTCTAGAAGGTGCTTAACCAAGCATGTTTAGTAACACCCTGTGCCTGGTTCGGAGAAACATGGCAAACCCACCAATGAATGACTAATGCTGTGGATTTTAGATGATGCTCATGTGCCTAAAAGGCACATCAAAGTATTTTCTTTGGAGATCTTCATTTTAAGTCTCAAAGTGATGAGATTTTCTTCAAGTCTAAAAAAAGAAAAAAAAAATCTCCCTGGCTTCCCATTGTTCACTGTCAAGATGTAATTATTTAATAAATCATAATGAATATAATCATAAAATAACACAAATTATAGCTGGATATGAGTTTTCTTTTTTTCTTTTCTGGGAAAAGGGGAGATCTATTTGGCAGCTGGATTTTTAATACACTATCAGTGGTGGGGGAAAAAAAAATCACACCGCAACACAGACTATTATATAGAGTGAATCTCGGGAACAGGCACCCTTACCAGGTCTGTGAAAATGCTGGGGAGAGCGAGATGTGGTTGGAGCATAGCTGTGGCGGCTATAGACGGGGGAGCTGATGGAGCCCTGGCTGGTGGATCGATGGATCACCCGGTCCCGAGAGTCCTGGTAGCCCTGGAAAGAAAGTGCGAGAATGTGGGAGCATAAGACACACATTCAGGCTGTCATCGGGTCCAAGTGACATCCAGTGCTACAAAGGTTGCCTGGGAACTGTCATGTTGACCTGTTCATGTATACATTCTAGGGCCATATCCTTCAATACATATGCAAAGGAGCATTCTGTGGTTAATGCATTTTGTTCAAAACCCATAGTTCTTGCATTTACCCAAATTTTAAGATGGAAAATGGTAAACTCCCGTGTTGATAGAGCTCTGGGAAAAAGAGAATACCCCAACGGCCACATTGATACGGTGCTTTTCAGTTTTACAAAGTATGTTCGTCGTTTCATCCGATTTGCATAACAAACAAAGGTAGAACACAGGGTATAGACCTCCCTTCTCCACAAATGCAGGATGTTTCAGAGCAGGTAAGAGACCGTGTGTAGGTGTGTAGCTCATATAGGCAGAGCCTGCTTCAGAACCAGCCTCCCGGCTCTAATCGTACCCTTTGTTCTGGCTGCCAACCTACACTGTCCATAACACTGATCTGGTGACATCTCAAGTTGATTTTCCTGCAGAACAAGCTGGTGGTGGCCTCAAACCCAGGAAATTCTACTTCCTACTTTGAGAAACATATCCCAAGGAAAAAATAAAGAGTGATCTCTAAATGGGAAAATTTGCTCAAAGATATTTATAATACCACCATTTATAAAGATAAAACTTCCTCAACAAATTGGGGAATAATGAAGAAAATCAGGTGTATCCATTCAGTGAAATATAATACCACCACTAGTATGCCCACTGTGTCCAAATCCAGAAAAGAGCTGGTTAGGTATGAAGTACAAAAAAAAATCATACTCACACAAACACAATATAAAACTGTTCAAACAATGAAAAGGATAGAAAGGAATGTTCTACATTTTAGGAATTAGTTGTCTTACAAAGTTTCTGCTGCTACAATAGAAATACAAGTTTGAAAGACTGTATGGAAAATGCCTAAATTAAAACCTCAGTAACCATGGCTGTGTGCCATTTGTTGAGAGCAAATGGCAAGGAAACTTTGGTTTGATCCCAGTTGCCTAGAACAATAAATTAAAAACAATAAAACAAAAAGTCCCCAAACAATGTGCTTCAACTTTGCAACTGGCCAATAATAGAAGTTAATGCTTCATAACTTCTGTTGTGATTAGAATACTAACAGAAATTAATTTTTCACAGCCCTCAGTCATAAACCAACAGAATACTACAGTTTTTACTATGTTAAATCGTAACGGTTATCTAAGATCAATCCAGTTTTATGTAGACCATCCAGAAAGTTTCTTGAAGACTTACTGATTTTATTTATTCATTTTAACTTTTTTAAGATTTTATTTTTATTTGTTTATTAGAGAGAGAGGGAGGGGGAGAGAGAATCTGGAGCAGACTCTACGCTGAACACAGAGCCCGAAGCAGGGCTTGATCTCACAACTGTGAGATCATTACCTGACCCAAAATCAGGAGTTCGATGCTTAACTGACTGAGCCACCCAGGCGCCCCTTATTTATTATTTTTATTATTATTTTTTAGATGGGGATAGACCTAACACCTGAGGAGTTCGCTCACTGGATACATAAGGAAATGCAAAAAAGTAAGAAGCATGCTAAACATACAGTCCCTTGGTTATAGTTATCTGAAGTAGCTTAAATGAAAGGAAGTGCTGGGTCAGACCTCGGTGCTGGACCACAGTCAGATTTGGGTCAGCCAGAGCTTAGGTCACTAGCCTCTAAGCCACACCGCCCCCACACCCCCACTCCCCCTCCGCCAAGGGAAAAAATAAGGACAATGGGAAGTACTTCTAAGGCCTCTGGTCACCAAGTAGGCAGTCGGGTGTAGGGGTGGGGGCAAAACCAAGGAACTACAGACAACAGGAGGGAGAGTGTGAAGGAGCTTTTGATTTTCTAGATCAGTATCAGCTTCGGGAAGAACCCTTACTAAAATGGGTTGTGAGAATAACTAATCTGGGCGCTGTGTCTTCGGTTTTGAATGCTGCAGAGTGGAAGAGTATGTATGGATTGATAGGGGACCCATGGCTCACTACGGAATGATCACCGATGGCTCTAAGTGATCCACATAGGAGTCATTCTCAAGGGAACAGTGGGCCTGGTGGACTGGATAAAAGCCATTGTGAGATTTCTTTACCCTGAGAAGGGGGACAAGACTAATGATTTGAGACTAAAAGGAGTGTCCTCCCCTGAAGATGGCTCTGCTTACAGAATACTCTCTGACCACTGTAGGCCACTTCAGATAATCCAGTACGTTGGGATTCAGATCAATTCAATATGAATGAGGGAGAGAGCGCCCCCCAGGCAGGACAGGTGGCCTCACTCCCTGCGCACCCTTATCAGGCACTTAGAGGCACAGGCTCAGATTACTATATGGCTGTTTTTACCCCCCGTCTCATTTGAAAAAACATTGACTACTGTGTCTTAGAGTCACCTCACATGTAAGGAATCCTACATTCATCATAATTTTGCATGCAGTTTTTTGTTGTTGTTGTTGTTGTTTTATTAAATGTCCTTCTTTAAAAACTCCAGTCTAGGAAAAGTCCAAGTCACTCCCAAATCCCACCCATTATAATGTTCAACAATGGCACTTACTTCTGCTGATGGAGTAGGAGACAAAGTCCTTGGAGACTAGAAGAATAAGAGAATTACAAGTCACAGTGGATACTGATTTGTTATCAGTTTAATTAGTTTATCAGAAGCCCCTGGAAATGGTATGCCGCATCCACATGCCCGCTCCCCTTGCCCATCCCAGTCTTCTGATTCGGTAAGTTGGAAGTGGGGCTCAGACAGAAACATGACAACCAAGCTCCTGGGAGCCTGGCGCATGTCCTGGCCTAGGAACCGTGGGTTTTGAGAAATACGTTGTCACACTTCTCCCTCTATGCTCAAACTATGCTCAGTTTACTACCATGAGTCACAGTGTTTACCGAAACACAGAATTTTGTAAACATGGTTGTTGACTCAATTATCAGGGCAGTCACATAAAATCATTTGCTGCCTGACACAGGCCGGTGATGACCAGGTCTGTGGCATCCTGCCCTGCCGGGTGGGCTTGCCAACATCACTACATTCACCTTCTGGCTTCCATCCTTCAGGGCACAAAGGCTTCCTTGGGGTCAATGAACAGATCAAACCCTATTTCACCACAGGGCCTTTGCATTTGCTGTGTCCTCTGGAAGCAGTGCCTTTCACTCAGACATCTGCCGGGCTTACTCCTCTTCTTCGGTGAGGTCTCCACTCACACGTGGTACACACAATGCCTTCTGTGACCCTCCTAATTGAAGGAGCAACCCAGCCCCACAGGCTTTCTCCTTACTCTGCTTCATTTTTCCGCTAGCACTATGCCCTGTAAAAGTGCATTATGTATCTGCTTATGGTCTGTCTCCCACTTTCCACTGCAAGCTCCATGAGGGCAAGAAATCTGCTTCTTTACAGCTAAGTATTCCCAGTGACTAGAGCAGCTCCTGACACATGAGGTGCCCAACAAATATTTCCTAAATGAATGAATGAAATGCTTACAATTAAAATGCAAAAAGAGCTCAAATAGAAATGAAATGCAAACAAAGCATCCTGAAGAACATGGTGGATTTCTCAGCATCCCAGTTTGCCCCTCACCCCAAGGTCACAAGAAGCCACCAGGCTCTCTCGCACTGCAGATTCCTCAAGCCCCCCAGTCTCAGGGCAGCTGCGGCCTGTCTCAGGGGGTGGGGGGGGGTTCTTAGCTGGGTGAAGACAGGCTCCTTGAAGGCAGGAGCCAGGCCTCACCCTGCTGACAGCCTCCAGATCCACCCTACTCATGCTTTCTGAAGGCACAAATGGCGACACAGAACATTAAGTTTATTCCTCCAGTGCTTCTCAATTGGCAATCTAAGGATTCTTTGGAAAAATAAGTTAATAAGTAAAGGAATAAATAATCAAGCGGTGCGTCAAGTTTTCTAAGTTGCAAGATTCATGTGTTGGGGAAGAGATGGCGAACATGTCTGATTTCTGATCTGGGGGCATGCTTCCATCAGATTCCACGATCCAAGAAACCCACAGGTAATCATTCCAGGTTATGATGGTGATGATGCTGACTACGAAGAGTGGCCGGCAGTTTTGTTGAGCATTTATGTGCCAGGGACTGTTCTAATCTAAATATTTCACTTATTCCTCACAGAAAATCTCTGAGGTGGATAGTACTATCTTGAGTTTACAGATAAGGAGACTGAAATACGTACTTTCCCCAAAGTTGTATGGTTCGTAAATATAAGTCTGACTCCAAACCCTGAAATGTTCAAAGCCTAAACTCTTGAGCGCTTGATGCTTTACTGCTCAAAACGGAGCCACTGGGAAACAGACACCTACCCCCAAACCCAAAACACCATAAAACAACTCACCTCCCCCTTGCTTGTATGACTTAAATATTAGCAAATTCTCGTCCACTTGTTCCAGGCCCAGGCGCTGTTCACCCCGTTCGGGAACTGTCCTTTTTCCTTCATTCCCTATGCAACTCTCCAGGCAGGGCCCTGAGGCAACTCCACAACCCAGGCCAATCAACCCGCCTTTGAGGGGCTGCAGATGCAGTTACACGCATATGACCACTAGGGGGCACTACATGAAAATAGATATCACTTCCTGTCCAATGGGCCATTTCAATGCGGAACTTATGCTCTGGCATAAAACCCAAATTGAAAAATGAGTAAATAAAAAGAACAAAATATATTACGACTATGAATGCATATAAGTATAATTATAAAACATATCAAATGTACATGTATTATTGAGAACAAACTGAACAGGATCACCCTGTTTTCATGGCTTTTCTTCATCTAAGGTCTCAAAGCCCTGTGTGGATGTGTTAGGTAGCGTGCAGTCTGTTTTAACCTTGAACAGCTAATTGCAGTCCAGTACTTGGGTAACATCTCTCCGACTGGACTCAAATCAGTCTGTAGAGGACTAATTTTTAAAAATAAAAGGGGAAAAGTTTAGAGTGAGTTGAACAGGCCAGAGGAAAGAGACCAGAGCCCACGCCACCCAGGTAGGGAACCCCCAACCCAGGAAAGGGACGGGGAGGACCCCAAGGGGCTGAGAGGCTATGCTCCAGCCTCCAGACCATTAATGTTGGGAGAGCATTAACAAGCCCCAAGAGCCCAAGGGCACCGGGAGTGACCACAAAAGCGGCCGTCATTTGCCGAACATTTACCATGAGTCTGACTCTCTAACTGCTTTAATAGATTAGCTTATACAGCTTTGTTTTAATAGATAACAAATGATCTAAATATTCTACAGATATTAACCTTTAACAGATCATTTATTTAATCCTAACATCCTGTGAGGTAGATTCTGTCATCCTGTGATACAGATGAAGAAAACAGGGTCAGAATAGTTGCCACATGGCCAAAGTCATACAAGCAGCACGAGGAGTCCCCAGGTTGAGCCCAGGTAATTCGATTCCAGAACCCTAGCTCACATCACTGTGCCACACCGTGGTCTCGATCTCTCTGCTGATTCTGTCCTTGCACGTTCTATCGTAAGATGCTGCACACAGCAGCTGTCCTAAATGAGGGTATATGTTCTCTTCCTCATGATCCCCATGACTATACTTCAGTAGGTCCCTCACTCCCTCTGCCCAGCTCACAGAATCTCCCCTGACAACTTTGACTTCCTTCCCAGCATATCCACTCTGCTATCCCACCACCTGGTACCAGCGCTCATTCATGCTTCCCGGTTGTTTTCTCTGGCGGCTCTTTTCTCCCACCCCTCTGCAATCTCCCGAGGCCAGGCATGGTGTGATAGGTTTCTGATACCTCAAAGCACCTGGTACGGAAGGCTGCAAATAGAAGGGAATCAAAAGGACCCTCTGACTTATTCTGATCCCAATCAGTCATGCTTATACACGTGATGAAAGAGAAGTTGTTGTATAATGCACAGCTTCTAGAATGTATTACCTCTCCCAGGCTCTGCCTCTCCTGTTTGTCATCATAGCCCGAAGTGTAAAAAGGCTCATAGGTAATAAGATCTGGACGTTCAATGTCATAAATTGCCTTGACCTTGGGAATGGCTGCTAAATCCTTATAATCCAGGATTTCATTGTCCACTTTTGCCTGGCAAGGTTAAACAGAAAGCAAAATCACTCTCATTAGTCTCATCTCTTTGGGGAACTATTTTTAGTCATTTCATGTTCTGCTTGAAAGGTGAAGACCTTAAAAAGAAACAAAAACCAAAACATTTTGCTGAGTTTTAAAACCAAAAGCATTTTGCTTTAGGAAGTTGCCTATTTATACCATATATTAATCAAGTTGTTTTTTTAAAAAAAGTCATCAAAAACTTAGGAAAAAGTCTGTGTAGAATAAACCAAGTAGAAAAACCTGTAAACCTTCAGGATAATTTTCCTACATTTATTACAGAGATGGAGAAGCTCAAACAGATGGTCAAAAAGAATCCTCCCAGATGGCCAAAAACAAGAAGTGCATATTTGATAAACTAAATTATTTAAATATCTCTGTGGCAGAATTTAAGAATACTCAGTATCAGCATTATGAAATGTATAATTAATCCCCAAGTATCTATATCCAAGTTAGCCACAGCAATTTTTAAAGTCCTTCGTGGTATTACTGCATTTTATAGGTCATTGGCATCGATGGTCACATTTGTATATAAATGTAATTACCCGAAGGAAAACATGATTGAGAAGGCTGATCTTCAACAATGAAAACTGGATCTCATAACAGAAACAGAAATCATTTCGAATTAGTCTATTTAGGATTACCCACCCCACTATGACAGTCTGCTACTTTACCTGTCCCGGAAGGGTCTTTTCCGGAAATAAATACTTACATAGATAGTATGACCTGGGGAACCAGGGATGCTGGAGCCTGGTCTAGAATAAATGCTTTCAGAGGAAGTCCTGGTAGGCTGTAAAATAAACAGTGCCTTGTAAGATTTCAAACCATGGCTTCAGAATCAAGACTGGCCTGAGTCCCTAGCATTTACTAAAAACTAAGCTGGTTAAGAAAAGGTTTGTGACTTTTCTGAGTAAGGGAAAACATAACCTAGACAGAAAGGTAAGGGAGAACCCGCTGCACAATCAGCCTTGAAAATGCATTTGGGGACTTTTCACCTTCTCCTCCTCGCCCCCTCCAAGACCTTCTCAGAGCTCTGCCTTCATGCACATTTCCCTCCACCTCTGATGCCACAGCCCCAGCCCCAGCCCCAGTCTCCAGCTCCGCTCATCTGGACTATTGCAATGACCTTGCCTGAGGGTTTCCTACTTCCGCTCTTGCCCTCTTGAAATCCACGTGGTACCCAGTGACCAGAGAGATTTTTTTTTTTAAGATTTTATTTTTTTATTTGAGAGAGAGTGGGGGAGGAACAGAGGGAGAGGGACAAGCAGAGTCTGCACTGAGTGCAGAGCCCGACGCAGGGCTCAATCCCAGGACCCTGAGATCATGACCTGAACCAAAATCAAGAGTCAGACCCCTACCCAACTGAGCCACCCAGGTGCCCCCAGAGAGATTTTTTTTTTTTATTTTCACAGAATATTTTTTATTACTCTACTCCTTGTACTATGTATGGAAACAGTAAATTTTGAAGTCCAAGAGAAAATTCACAGAGAGCCAGAATTCACTGACTGAAACATCCACCAAATTTCTTAATTTAAAATTAAAAGGTAATTTAACCGTAGGCAGCATCAGGTAGACTAAACTCCCATACTGGACCCCTACAAAACTAGGTTTTTGTCTGTTAGAGAAGCCTCTTCTTGCCAGAACTGGTTTCCCTGCTCAGTAGGTTCCAGAGCGGGTCACCATATTGCTCGCTGGACCCCTGACAGCTGCCCGTGGTCTGCTAAGTGACGGAAGACAATACGACTAAGCCTCCAGCACCGCTTTACACCACGTGAACGGGACGTCATAACACACCGATTTCGGATTTGAACAGGGCAGCTATCCCGGCCGGGGAAGGGCAGCAATTTCTCCATCGGCCACTTCCTGAAGATCTTTTGGCAAAATGGTATTCTTCCTGAGTGAATTGATCCGTAGCCTCTCATCTGCATATTCATAGGCCATTTTTCGTCTCTTCACATCACGCAACATTTTCCAGTCTAGGTAATAACCTCGAACTTGGCCTGAAGGTGATGAAGGAACCATCTGCCGGACGGTCCGCAGCAGAGAGCCCAGCATGGAGGCCGCCATGTTGTCCCCCCAAAGAGATCTTTTAAGAACAGAATTTGGTCACTACTCTGCTTTTGGCTTCAGCGACCGCTTAGTATCACAACTCCCAGTGCCTCAGGGTTTTGATCCAGCTCTCTCCCACCCTCTCACTTCCCACCATCACTCATGGAACATGGCGCACGCCCCTGCTTCAGGGTCCTTATCCTCACTGTTCCCTCTGCCTGAAATGCTCCAGTCCTCAATTTTACTTGATTTTCTTTTTTTCTTCCTCCAGTTTTGGCTTTAAATATCACCTCCTCAAGGAAGCCCTCCCTTATCTTTCAATCCAGAATGGTTAGTTACCCTTATTTTCTGTCCAAGTCATTCTTAGTTTTCCTTCATGAATAAGATTTATAATTCCAAGTGTACTGGTTTTTTTTTTTGTTTTTTTTTTTTTACATCTTATCCCCTCATTAACTTCAGTTACCATCTCTGCCCTCACCGGATTTATTTTTTTGCCACTGTGTATGCCCGCTGTTTTGCAGAGGTACGTAGAAGGCACAAATATTTGTTCAGGGAATGAGCTAGGATTTATTATTTGTAAACACTCAGTTTGTGGATACCTGGCTCGTGTTAATTACGAGACGTGAGCCTAACCACACAGAGAGTCACTGAAGTAAGGTTAGCAGTCAGCCGCTGGGAAAGATAAAAGAAACTGGACTTTATATGCTTAGAGGACCCTGAGAGTGAGTAGTGGTGAGAGCAGTGGGAGGGTTAACTGCCTCCCACTCTGCCTGGCACATTCGGAAAGCTCTGCCAAGAAAACCAAAGGCCTAGTCTTGAAAGACTTGCTCCCCTCTGTACAGATATTTCTTGGAGAGGAAAATGTGTAGTTCTAGGTTAGGAATTGGATCTTTCCTCTTCAGTACTTTTTCTACTGATATTTGGCATCTTGATTGTGACTATAACGGAGCCAAAGAACCTCCTAAAAATCAGGATGTTGCACCACTATGTATTCACATGTGAAAATAACTGAGAGCGAACCCACCTGGCCAATTCAAGTCGGACAGTAATTAGACTCACTCTAACAGGGAATTCACTGGAGGGCTGTGATGTATGGTTCTCGTGTCTTTGAGATACCAGGGGGGAGGGGGCTGGAGAAGTCACACTGTGCACAGTGGAGGGGTGGCAAACTTGTCACTTCTGGTCCCCCTCCCCAACACCTGCCACATACAAGTACTTTCTTCCTAGACTTAAATTTTCCAATCGCATGCGTATCTCAGTATGAGAAAATTCTAAATTCTGAGTCTACTGGGAGAGGAAGGATTCACATAATAATGCTACTCAAAAAGTCCAAGTCCTTGATTTGTGTCCCAATCAAAATAGAGAAGTGACACAACCCAAGTGTGGTCCTCCTTTAAAAAGAGATGCCACCTGCTAATAAAATGGAGCCAGTATGCCTCTCTGTGGGGTAACGATTAACTACAGGTAGTCCTTCAGCCTCAAGTGGCCAGGAGCGAATATGTGCCAACCCAGTTTCAAAATGCAACCTGGTAAGTAACAACACAAGAATATGAGTGACAGCTAACACTGGTCATCTGTCTACTATGTAGCCCAAGCTCTTAGCCCCTGCACTAGAATCTCCTCCATATTGTAAGGTACCCATGACCATTCCTCTCATCAACATAGCTATGGGACAGATGAGGTGAAAACAGAAGAAAAAATTTGAGATCAACTAGCAGGAGAGAATGTTCTTAGCTCCACGAGAAGCCTGCAGTGGCTCTGTGTTGGGGTGGGGTAGGAGAGAGGCGAATGCAAGATAGACGTCTTCAGGTACTGTGTTGCTATGACAAAGCCCTGCTCTCATTAACAAGCAGCTAGGACATTGTGTGAAGAGCCAGAGAACACACTGAGCCTTGGGGTCTCTCCCATGTCACTCATCCTATTTTCACCAGATACGGGTCAGAAATACTTTCTGCCTTCCCTGTAACGATGCACCTGGGGATGGCTCTGAAGTATTTTGTTCCCTTGTGTGCTGCACATGCAGATCGGAATGTAGCTGCAGAGCCACGTGAACACATGCCCAGGATGGGGTCTGTAACGTTCTCTTCCAGTGAGGAGGAACTCCACGGAAGGAAAAGGTCCCTGGGCTGAACCAGCCTGTTTCCATTCAGGCTCTCCGTACCTTCTTTCTTCACCACATGGGAGGATCTGTGAGTTCTGCAGGCTTCCTCTGAAGTATTCAGCTGGTTCATGTACAGCATGACTATGGCAGAGCTAACGTCGTTAAGAGTTATCCGACAATCTGAAATCTTGTCAAGTCCCGTTTCGTTCTTCAAGGTTTTCAGATCTGAACCACCTCCATTTTGCATATACCGGCCCCAGGTTCTCTGATTCTAGAATAAATATTTTGGATTTTTGTAGTCAGACTGTGTTCAAAGTCAAATCAGCTGGTCACCAAATCTGACTGACGGTGCTCTGGGTCTCGTGGAGAGACCAGTCTGCCGTGAGCATCTTCAGACCATTCAGCACCGGGAAATGCTCAAGATTATCTCTTGGAGATTCAGAAGTTGCTCTTTGTTTCATTGCATTTACTGTGGCTTGCTTTATCTTCATTCCGATCCCCTTACTTAAAATCTACTTCCATAGGCATCTTGCTTATGGGTTGAGTTACATCCTTGCTTATTTTCTTACAATGGCCCTTCTTTGTCCTGTTTTCCTGTCTAAAATGAAGTAATGGGATAAAACACACGACTCTGTGTAGTAAAATAGAGGGGGGTTAGAAGGCTGGATTTGGAGTCAAGTGATTTAGTTCAAACCCTGGCTTTCCTAGTTGTGTGACTTTCTATTATGAGTTTTTCTTTTTCTTTCCTTTCTTGCTTTCTCTCTCCCTTTTTCTTTTGACTTCCTTGAGTTTCAGCTTCTCATTTCTAGAATGGAGCAAAGGGTACTAAGACCTAGTTCATAGGGACAAAGGAAACAATACCTATAAAGCTTCAAGCACCTTGCCTCGCACAGGGTGCGCACCCATTTTCAGCATTCTCCAGACATCGGATCTTAGACTGGATTTCTTCATCTGTTAACCTCACACAAGTGAAGGAGAGTATGGTCTCTATTTGCTCTTCATGACAGAAGAGTCCTTTCAAATGTGAGCTCCAGGGACAAGATGTCTGTAGAGCCCTCTGCACTTGTGTGCCTTCCCATAAGGACTCAGATACGTGAGGCCATTTATCACAGTCCACGGGGCAGCAGTCAGCTTGCCTAATGCCCTTCCCTTTCTTGAGAGCCCTATGAAGTGAATGTGTATCCGCCCGAGATGGTGACTTCCTGCGCAGGTCTTAGCTTTACTGATTTATGCCCTGCCCATGCGTGATGGCAAAGACCTTGCACAGGCCTCTCTTAACTGCCGGAAGGGTTCCTGGTGCGCTGCCTCTTCACCCGTGCTCAAGCTCAAACAGCACACACGGATCGCTTGCTTTTCTGCCACAGTCCCAAGGACTCCTGAAGTGTATGTGCTCACCCGGCAGAGGTTAGAGGTCCCTCCTTCATGAAGATAATAACATTACTTTTTAAAACTCAACTATTAGTTTGGGTATTTTAGTCTTAAATATTTGGAATTTTACATTTTTTTTTAAAGATTTTATTTATGTATTTGAGAGAGAGAATGAGATAGAGAGCACGAGAGGGGAGAGGGTCAAGGGGAGAAGCAGACTCCCCGCCGAGCAGGGAGCCCAATGTGGGACTCGATCCCGGGACTCCAGGATC